GGAGGGGGAGGAGGGGGAGGAGGGGGAGGGAGCAGCAGCAGAAGTGTATCAGTGTATCACTCACACTAGAGTGGTGATGGCTGATAGGGAAGAAGCACAGGAACGGGAGAGCAGTTATGGCCAGATCTGGGATTTCGGGCTAAGGGGCCTTCAGAAGAAAGGCGTCGACACCCGGCTCCGGGCCCTCACTCTGCCGTCGTCTCTGTGCTTAACTGTGACGTGGGGTGACTGCCCTGTCTTGCCAGGCTGGGCCTGGGGCTCGGGGAGGCCTGGAGACCAGGCGCAGGCTTGCCCCGAGGGCTGCGTGGTCAGGAGGCCAGAGGCAGGGACCCCGGTGGCTGCCGGACGGAAGGACGCTGGGACCCGGCGCCCGCACACCCTCCCCGGGGGGTTCATGCGGGATCAGGACCCTGTCACCCCAGAGCAGCCTGAAGGAGAAGTGCGCCCCCGGTCCACCCACCCGAGGGGCATCCAAGCTGCTTATCAAATGGAACTTGCCGTGACCTCGAGGGACAACCCGCGGGCCCGGGCCTCAGTCCACTGAAGCCTCTCCCAGGCTTTGCCCCTCCAGGCCACCTGCCAGGAATGTTCCCCCCCCCCCCCCCCCCCGCTGCAGGAGGTGGGAGCCCAGGCGTCACAAGCTTTCAGTCCCTCCAGGCTCAGCGGACCAGGGGCTGCAGACCCCTCCCCAGCCCCGTTCACTGCTGGGGAAGCAGCTCGAACTGTGTGTGGCCTTGGCAATTGCCTTTCTTTCTCTCTGCCTCGACTTGCCGGTCTGTAAAGTGGGCGCAGTAACTACATCCAGCTTCAATGGTCATTCTGGATGATTCCATGTCTCATGCCTGGAGGCTGAGCCGAGGAGATGGGGAGGGCTTCAGGCACCCCAGCCAGCCCCCTCCCCATCTCTCCTCTACCTCTCAGTCTGCATGGTGGGGGCTCAGAATCACTGAATCCGGGCAGGCTCCTGGGGCTCTCCCAGCCAAGTCCTGTGCTGTGGAAGGAGGGCCTGGTTTGGGGGGGGACCCAGGGTCACCCTGGGCATCTTGCAGAGCTCACAATCCCAGACAGACTCTCCCCATGCACCCCTGTGGGGGTCCCCTGCAGACCACTCCCACACTCCCTGCCCACTCTCCTACATCTCCCAGATCACAGGCTGCCATGGGGGCCCCCTGAAGATGAGAAGAAGTGGGCATGGGGGCGATCAGGCAATGTGGCCTGGGGTGCGGGGTCTGCAAATGCACTGGGGGGCTCCCTAGGGGGCGGCTGATAAAAAAGCCTCAAGAAGCACCTCTTAGGCAGCATCTTATTGTGTCCATTTCTCAGATGAGCAAACTGAGCTTCAGGCCCTCACCCCACCAGTCTGCGGGGGAGCCCCGGTCTCAAAGAGATGTGGAGCCCGTGGGGTTCAAGGTGAGCTTTTCACAGAAGGTGTAGGAGTCCTGGGGGGAGGGTCCTGGAGGGGGTCCTTATGGAAGCTGCACAGCCGCCCCTTCCAGTAGGACTCAGTTGGACCACTGGACCTTCAGGGCTGGGTCCCTTCCTGGTCAGACTCCGCCCACACCTGGTCTGCTATGCGCGAGGCCTGGGTGGCGGCGCTGATTTGCCTTCTCCCATCCCTTCCGTCCCCTCCCGTCCCCCGGTCCTGGCCGCGCGCCCCCGCCCCAATCAGCCACTTGGTTCCAGAAATGGGTCCCTTCCTGCCTCAGTTTCCCCCACGCTGCCCCCACTCCCAGCCCTCAGGGATTTGCAGAAGTGAGGCAAGGAGAGTGACCTTCTTCCAATCGCCTCTGTCTGATATTTATTTTATATATTTTTTCTGATCAGTTACAAAACATACTTTTCCTCCAGAGTTGCAATTTAAACAATATTTGAAGAAGGCCAAAGCTATCGACCAGCAGTGGTGATGAATTAGAGACGGTAATTCGAATTCATCGACCACCCCGCCCGCCCCAGCCGAGAGTCCCCTCCCCCCAGCCCCCAGTCCCTCTCCCACAATTACTAGAGCCTGGGGGGCTTCTAAGAGGAGGAAGCTCCCGAGCCTCATGCGCCCAGAACCCTTGCGCGGGCTGGGAAGCTGGGGCCCCGGGAGCAGTAGGGTCAGGGCGACTAGCGGGCCCCAGAATCTCAGAATATCAGACCCAGAACCTGGCTCCCCCAGTGCACACACATTTTACAGATGGGTAAACTGAGGCACCCAGAGCAGGCCGGCATAGGGCAGTGAGGTGGGCCCTGAGGGCCACCCAGCCAGATTCCTTTGCTGCTTTGCAGAAACAAAGAAGTGGCCGCCACTTGCCCCCTGGGCTCCAGATCTGGGAAGGAGAGAGGGGGAGTCAGGAGGGTGGGCAGGGAGGCACCCAGGCCAAGGGGACCCCCTCAGCTGCCCTGGGGGGCTCTCCACTCTGCTTTTCAGTATTTTTCCCTTCTCTGCCTCTCCGCCTCCCCCCGCCTTTGTCTTTTTCTCCGCTTCTGCTTTGGTTTCTCTTTCTCTCACTATCTTTGTCTCTGTTTCTCTTTCTGTCTCTCCAGGCTGGTGATTTTTCTCCCCTGGGCGGTTTCTGTCTCTCTGTCTCTCCCTATCTCTGCCTCTCCGACCGTCTCTGCGTGTGTCGTCCCTCCTGGAGCCCAGCGCAGGCGGTCACCCGGGGGGGCGCAGCCCCGGGAGAGGCGGGCGGGAGGCCGGGTGCAGAGCGAGGGCTGGGCGGTGCGTCCTCCCGCGGGGTCGGCCTTGCGCGGGGCGTGGGGAGCGGGTCGGGGCCCCTGGAGTCGCTCCGGGCCGGCGCGTGCGGGGCGCAGTGTTTGGGAGGGGGACGCGCCCCGCTGCCTCCCCGTAAGCGCCACGATTTGCCGCCACTTAACCGCTTTTCATTTGCGCAGCGACCGGAACTAAAGGCCTCTCGGCCGGCGCCTAATTACCCCTCTCCCCGGGCCGGCCCACCTCTAACTCCCAGGTCCAGCCCCGTGGTGTAGACGCGGCCGGCGCGGCCCGAGTTGCGGTGGAGCCGGCGGGTTGGCGGGGTCACCGCGTGGGCAGCGCGGGAGCAGCAGGGGACGCCCCGCAGGCCCCCATCATCACCCACGGGACCCGAGCGCCCTGCCCGAGGCTCGGCCCCGCGCACCCGGGCAGCCTGGAGTCCGACTTTCGCTTCCCCAGAGGGGAAATCTGCGGGAGGCGGCTGCTCCCCGCCTGCTGTCGGGGGCGGCCGGAAGGGAAGGCCCCAGGGCTAGCGGGGCCACTCAGCCCGCAGCAGCGTCCCCCCACCCAGACCCTGGGGGGGACTTCGCGCCGTGGTCTGCGGCTCTGGGACGCCCTGGCCCCCCGCTGGGGATGGGGCGGCCGAAATGCGCGCCGGAAGGACATGATGGGCCCTTTATCACACGGGGTGCGGGGAGGAGAGTGGCGAGTGGTATGTGGTCTTTGGGGGCCGCGCTGTCAGTGCTGGGGAGGAGGTGTGTCTGCTACAAGGTGGCCGGTGTGGCCCATGTGTCAAGTGCCGCACGTCCACCCGTCTCCACGAGCCCACGTAGTACCTGACACCTTAGGGCATGCTTTTTGCCACCCGCTGTCACCTATGCTGCACGCAGCAGGGCGCGCCTGTGTCCCCTGTGAGCACACCCGTGTCCCTGCGTGTGGGTCGCCAAGCAGGACACAGCAGGGTTTGCCTCACACATGCCCATGCCGTCTAGGTCCCTAACACCGCTTCTAACAGGTCACAACGACCTCCCCGCGCACTGGGTCATGAAGGAGACTGTCTTCTCACGCCCCAAAGCGGGGACTCTAAGAAGCCTGTGGGAGGCTCAGACACCTGACTGCAGCAGGGGGAAACTGAGGCCACGTGTCAGTGCAGGCTCCCCGGGTTGTCCAGTAGGCCTGGGGGCCGGGAGGGACAAACAGAAGCCCCGGGGCTCGGGCAGCCCTCCGCCCTTCTCCCCAGCCCCCTCCTCCCTGCTCCCCTGCTCCAGGGGCGCCTCGTCTGAGAGCCAGCCCACTCCAGCTCCACTTGCCCCTGTGCGCAGAGAAGCGATCGATCCCTCGCCGACCGAGGCGGCTATTGTCCCTGCGGCGGCCCCCTCCCCCTGCGGCCAGGGAAGGACCCCCCCAGGTCAGGCCCTTCCCCGAGACAGTGGCGGGGCCTCTCCTGCACCCCACAGACACACAGGAGAAGGGGTCCCGGCCAGGCCACCTCGCTGGGGGCAGATGTGGCCCCAGCTGTTGTCAGCTGGGAGGGAGGAGGGAGTGTGGTCCCCAGGGGGGCGGGGGGCTGAGAGTCAGTGTGAGCGAGAGGGACAGAAAGAGAGAGCAGCGGAGAGGAGGAGAAAGAACGAGGAGCAAGCGAAAAATAAACAGAAGCCAGTTTGCCCCGACAGACAGACGCAGAAATGAGGGAAACAAAACGGAAAAGCAAGGCCGGCAGGGGGGCGCGCACCGAGCCAGAAGCGACCGCGCAGGGCAGGCGGCCGGCCGGGGTGTGAAGGCCTCCGGGCCGCGCGGGCGAGGGTCCCCCGGGCCGCCCCTCCCCCGCCCGTTCTCGGGTGACCTTTGCCAGCGGCCGGAGAGGGGGAGGGGGGTATCGATCGCCGAGGCCGAGCTACAAAGAAGCGCGCGCTGGGGCCGAGGGCTGAGCGCGGGCCCGGCCCGGCCTCCTCGGCGCGGGCGCCCGGCGCACGGGCCCGACCCTCCGCCTGCAGCTGGAGGCGCAGCCAGGGGTTTTCGCGAGGCGGCGAGCGGCACCCCCAGCCGACAGCAGCGGCGCGGCTGGGGCTCGGCACCCCACCTCCGCACCCACCACACACACAATGAGAAACCCCGCAGGCAGCTTGGGGGATCCTCCCCAAGGTGTGAAAGGGACCAGGGACCCCTCCCTGTTCCCGGGCTGCTGGGGGGGGGGCGGGGGGAGGCGGCACAGTCCCCTCTTCCCTTTCGGCGGCCGCACGAACGGGCAGGGGCACAGACCACACTGCAGCCCCCCGCAGGGGAGTCCCGGGCCGGGCCGCGCTCCTACCTGCGAGGCGCAGCGCCGACATGCGCTGGAATTCGGGCTCCTGCAGCCATTTCCACATCCTGCGGAAGGTCTCCCGCCCGGACTTGAGCTTGCTCCACGGCTTGGGGTTGCGCAGCAGGTCGGAGAGCGTGCCCTGCGAGCGACACAGGATGCGCTGCGCGAAGATGGCCTGCGGGATGCTGTAGCGCTTCAGCTCGGCGGTGATGCGCTGCGCCACCTCCTTGGTGTTGATCTCCTCCGCCGCCGCGCCCGCCCCGGGGCCGCCGCCCCCCGCGCCCGGGCCGCCGCCGCCTGCGTGGGACCCGTGCGCCCCGGCGGCCGCCAGCCCGCCCAGCGGCGCCAGCAGCCCAGCCGCGCCCCCGCCGCCTGCGCCGCCGCCGCCGCCGCCGCCGCCGCCGCCTCCGGGCAGCCCGCGAGCCAGCGCGTCCTCGGCGCGCCCCAGCAGCGCGGCGTGAGGCTCGAAGGCGGCGGGCGGCAGCAGCTTGTCCCCGGCCAGGTGGCCCGGCGCGCCGTAGGCGGCCAGCGGCGGCGGCGGCGGCGGCGGCGGGGGCTGCGGGGCGCCGTGCAGCGCGGGCGGCAGCGCGTTGGGCAGAGGCGACAGCGGCGACCCCATGGCGGGCAGCTCCTTGCCGTAGGGCCCGTAGAGGTGGCCGACGGAGGCGAGCGCCGCGCGTTCGTCGCGCATGAGGGTGAAGCTGCCGCTCACGCTGGCCGCCAGGCGCTGCGGCGGGGGCGGCGGGGGCGGCGCGGCCGCCGGGTGCGGGTGCGCGTGGGGGTGGCCGCCGTGCGCCCCGGCCACCGCCGCGGCCGCCGCATGCTGGTGGAACTTGTCGGCCACGGCGGCGAGCGGCGGCAGGTGCTGCAGGGGCGTGAGCGTCGTGTAGGTGCCGCCCAGGCCGGGCGCCTCGCAGGCCATGCCCATGGCCGGGTGCAGCGGGCCCGCCAGCTCCCCGCGGAAGTCGGCGCCGCCGCTCGCGCCGCCCGCGCCGCCCGCACCCCCGGCGCCCCCGCCGCCGCCGCCGTCCAGCAGGCTCGCCATGCCGGCCACCAGGCCCGGGCGCCCGGGCGCCACCAGGCCGCGGTGCTGCGCCGCCGCCGAGCGCGCGTGGCCCGGGCTCAGCAGCTCGCCCGCCTGCGCGTGGGCCACGCCGTGCAGGCCCCCCAGGCTCTCCAGGCTCAGCTCCATGCTCGGCCGCTCGCCCGCCGCGCGCGCTCCTCGGCGCCGGCCCGGCGCGCTCAAGGCCGCCGCATGGCCCCCGCCCGCTCCCCGGTGGCTGCGCGCGAGGCTGCCCGGCTGCGCGGCGCACCGCCCGGCCCGGCTGCGAGCGCGGCCACCAGGAAGTGGCGGGGGAGCGGCCGCCGGCGCCCGGGCCCGGGTCTGACGTCAGCACCCCCGCCCACCCGCTCCCCTCGCCGCCGCCTCCCGCCGCCTCGCTCTCCGCCCGCTCCGGCCCCCTCGAGCGCCAGGCGGGCCTGAGCGGGCCAGACTCCGACTTCTGGGGTCCCTTGCCTCTGCGCCCGCCCGCCCCCCCTCCTCACCCGGGGGCCGCCGTCCGCGGGCACAACCGGGCGGGCTTCCGAGGACAGACCCCGCCGAGGAGGGGCTGGGGGCCTCGTCCCTACGTCTCTTATTCTGTGTCTGTCCCCAGGGGGTCACGAAGGTTACTTTCTTGCCTGACGCCCCCAAATCTATCTCCAGGAAGCTCTTAGGAATGTGGCGGGGCGGGGGCCTGGATCCACCCATCTCCGCACCGGCCGGCACACAGACCCCATGAGGTAGCTCCCTGTCCGAGCTAGGCTTCCCCTGTCCCAGCACTGGACAGGCAGTGCAGCCTGCTTCCCATCTCTCTTCGCGGAGTCCTGCGGGGTCCTCAGGCTGAGTCCCAAGTGTCTGATCTGCTTCCACATGTGGGCACCGCGGGCCTCAGTTTCCCTAGCTGCACAGTGCAGCACCTGCCTTCAGGGGAGCCAAAGGCGCCTCCCACATCCACGTTCTGGTTCCCTCCATCTCCAGTAGGGCAGCGGCCTGGGGGTGACCTGTCCTTTTCCAGAGCAGGCAGGCTGGGACAGGTCCTCTCTGCTTCCCAAGAAGCCCCTGCTTCAAACTCCTCCCTCCCCCCAGGGTTTCCCCTTCGAGTGCGTGTGGGGGGCCAAGGTGCTTCTTTCCTCACCACCAGGAGACAGTTGAGGCCCAGGGACCCTTGGGAACTGGGGAAAATGGGGAGCCTCCCACACTCAGAGAGCTGTTCCCTTCCATGGCCCCTCCAGCGGCTAAGACGCAGGTCCTGGACGGGTCACCCCTCCCACAGCCCAAAGGGCGCCCCTGTCCCGAGGCCGGAGTGGAGAGGGAATCCCCAAGCCAACCCCACCCCTTCCTCCTCCCCCAGAACACCGGCCCCACTGGGTAACCTTTGGGGGGAAAGCTACTGAGGCCTCTCCTGGAGCCCCCGAGGCACCCCCATCTCACGGGGGGGGGGTGTGAGCTGCCAGCGGGAGGGAAGGCCCGAGCAGGGAGCCGTTGGTCCACGCAGACCACTGGCCGCCCGTCCTGGCGCCTTCAACAGCATTCCCCCTGCCTGTGGGTGACACCCAGCTGGGCGCCTGTGCCGGGACCCTCTCCGTGTCTGTTTTCCCGTCCGTCAAGGGGACGAGAGTGCGTCCAGGCAGTTCCAGCCTTGAGCCACAGGCACGACTGCAGTGACTCCCATCATGGCAGAGGGAGGGGGTGCTGTCTCTAAGCACAGGGGAGTTTGGGGGCCTGCACCACCTGGCTGGGGGGGGCAGACAGTAGAAGGGCTGATCCAAGTCCTGGGGTGGGATGGGGCTCATGGAGATCCTGGGTGCTTTGTGCTTGGGACTCAGCATTTTGTAGCTGCCTCCTGGCTACCAAGCACACACTCTCCTTACCCGCTCCTGTCCCCGTCCCTCAGGCCCAAGGTAGACAGAGGTCCCTGGCACGGCTCCCTTGGTGTGAACACCTGTCCAAATGCAGACACTTCCCCAGGTCCGGGTCCATGGCGTATATATAATTCCAGGTTATATATTATTACACCCATCTTCCAGGTGGGAAAACCGAGGTGGGGGAGGGGCAGGTCCAGACAATGTCCCCGTCCCCAGGGCAGATTCTGAGTCTGGGAGGTGGGTTCTGGCTGGGCCGAGCCCCAGCCAGAGCCCCCCAATCCCACCCTCCAACAATCACAGATAATTAAAAATAGTCGTAGGATCTAAAAATCAATCAGCCTCCATAAAATGACCGGATCCCAGGCCCAAGAAGCACGGATCAGGCAGGGCTGGGGTTCATGGGTGGGCAAACAAAGGTGGAAGGAAGCACCCCCAGATGTCCCCCTCGGGGCGCTGGCGGGGTGGGGGGTCCAGATCTAGCAGCTTTTTGCTTTCTTCTTAATATATTTTCTCCAGCTCGATTATCACTTGATTTTAATAACAAGCCTGTGTGGCTTTTCTAACGAAGAAAGCGTCCATCTTGAAAGAAAACCTGCCAGCCTGGGGCTTCGAGACGGAGCCCCCTCCGCACTGAGGTCCCGGGACACCCTGGGCGCCGAGCCCCGCGCAAGCAGCCCCCGCCTCCTGTATGCCCGCCTGGACTTGGACTCCCTCCCAGAACAGGGGTCTCTGCAGAGGCTGCTCTCCTACTGGGAGAATGAACAAAAATTTGCCGCATCTGGCGAGGGAGGAGGCCCCCTGGCACCCCTGAACCGGCTCCCCCCACCAGCGGCCTTTTAGTAATTAGTAAAATAGAATTGAGCCGGCCACGGGGCAGGCGGGTGGCTCGCGCCCCCGATCGATCTTGGGTCATTAGGCAAATTGCGGGCCGGGAAGGGGTGGGCTGGAGGGGGGCAGGGAGAGCCCCTTCTTCCTCCTAGCGGGGCCTTGGCCACGTCTCGAAAGCTCGGCCTCAGGATTCCCCACAGGGAAATTGGAGTTCGACTCCCGGACCCCAAGTCCGCGCGCGCTGGGCTGCTCCCGGCCGATGCCCACCCTCTCTGTGCCAAGCTCGGACCTCCTACCTACCCCGGGAGCCCAGCCACCCGCATGGCTTCAGCCACACCACCTCCCTCCCAGGCGGAAACCCCTGGAAGCGAGTTGTCTCCCCCTCCTCTCCTCTGGTTCTGGCTCCTCCACCCGCAGCTAAAAACGTGAGGAGGGTATACCCGCCGGGTCCCCTTTCCGGCTTCCCCCGGGTCGGTCCTCGGTTCGCCGCTCAGTTTGCGATTCGATTTGTCCCCACGGAAATGAAAGTCACCGGCGGCCGCGCACCCCTAGTTTTATTAGAGCAAGGTTTTAATGCACGGCGGTGACGCAGACCCCCCTCCAGCCCCGCCGGGGCCTGAGGTCCGCGCCCGCCCCGTTCGGGTCCCCAAACCTGCGGGCGCCTCAAAGCCTGGCCGGCGCGCACCCCTAGGCCCTCACCCTCCCGCCGGACTCCGGCGCCTTCGTTCGGGCGGGGTCGGAGGCCTTTATTTAGATTTTGGGGGGAGGGCGCTAGGCTCTTCCGGCCGGGCGGGGATCCCAGCGGGGCCGTGCGCACGGCGCCCCGAGGTCCCGCTTTCGGACGTTGGGCGCGGGGACCTTCCGAGGGGCCGAAGCCGGGGCGCCACGACGTTGGGGCTTCGCCCCTGGCGGGCCAGACGTCCTGAGCTGCTCGCCCGCGGTCGGTGGCGCCCGGGGCGCTGGCCCGCGGGGTAGGTGCTCCCGCGGGCGTGTGGGCGACAGCTGCGCCCGATCGATCCCCGCGTCCGCCCGGCCCCGCCGCCCCCGCCGCGCGCGGCTCCATCGAATCCTCATCGCTCCCGGGCCGCGCCGCCCGCCGCGCTCTCGGCAAACACGGCGCTGGTTTGCGCGGGGGCAGCGGGACCGGGCGCCCGCGGGGCGCGGGTGTGTGCGCGCGCGTGAGTCCCGGGGCCCGCGTCCTGGTCCCCTCCCCGGGCGGCTTGGCCTCCGCCGGACCGGGGGTTCCAGGGACGCAGGTAGAGGAGGAAATCGCACCCCCAGCCCCCCCACCAACACCACACCCAGGGGTGGGTGGTCGAGGCTCGGCCAGGGCAGACCCCGGAGGGCGCCCGGGCAGCCATCTCACGCCGCCTGCGCCTCAGTTTCCCCATCTGTAGAGTGACCCGCAGGGCGGCTCGCTCTCCTCCCTCCCCCCCTGCTTTCGGTTCCGCTGCGCCCGGGCCGGGCTGGGGGGCGGTGGCCTGGGTCGCCCGGGCGGTAAATACGATGAGGCCCAGGTGGAGACGCGCCAGCCGCGGCCGGGTCGCGAGTGGCCCACGTTGGCCCAGGCCCTGTCCCCTCGGCTTTGCGCGATGACCTGGTGAGGAAACCATGAGTCTGCCCAGAAGTGAGCAGTCGGGGAAACTGAGGCCAGGTCGGCAGGGCGAAGCTTTCGGCCTCTGGGAAGAGGACTGAGGGGGGCAGGGCGGGCTGTGGGGCGGGGCGACCCCCCCCCTCCGCTGATGGCCTGGGGCCCAGGCGCTGCAGGCCGACGACTTCCCGGGCGCAGCGAAACCCGCGTCAGGCGCCCCGCTCCAGAGGGGCCCCAGCGCCACCCCCGCGGAGGGCCGGGCCCTCAGCAGCCCAGCGAGACCCCGCCCCTTCGCAGCCCCCGGCTTCCTCTGTTCCTTCCCCGAAAGGAGGTTCCTTGGACAATTAAAAATGTAATATATATATTTAATCCACAATGCTCTCCGCCTTGCACAAAGGTGGGGGGGGGTCCTGGAGCCCGGGGTCGCACCAGGCGTGGCACCTGGCTTGTGGAGGCTCGGGGCGGGGGGACCCCGGCCGGGCAGCCGCTGGGTTGCGCTTCGGGGGGATTCCCGAGCCGCTCTGACCCGGGTCGCGCAACGGCTCTGCGGAGCCCAGCGACCGGCCTGGGCACCCCGGAGTGTGCGCCCGTGGACCCCCCAGGTCGCGGCTTGGAGGCCGGGAACACAGGCCTGGGAGGGCGCCCACTTTCCTGCCGCAGAGTCGGAGGCCCCAGGCGGGAGCGAGGACTACACCCCTCCTGCCCAGGGCGACCCGGCGGCATCCGGCTGCAGAGCCTCGCCCTGACCTGGCGCCCCATTAACGCGCCATTTATCTGAACACATGGCACCCTTTCCTCTTGGCCAGGAAGTAGGGGGAGGCGGAGACTCCGCACCACCGACCTGCAGGGCTGACGTCCCCCTCCCC